GTTCAGCAGTGCATTCTGGGCAGAAACAAAATGCGGGAACTGTCAGCCAATAAAAATCGCCATCAGCAGGGCGGAGGCTTCTCTTCAGCCAATCAGAAAACAAAGATGAAACGAAGGGCCGGGCAGACGAACCACGCGTCCTTCCATAAATGAAGGAATAACAAGGCAGCATTTTTTTGTTCAACCTGCTTTTTCAGATAGTTAAACTCCACAGAGAGACGGTAAGCGTCGACTTCATGATGAAATGTGTGTTTTTCTGTGATTACTGCAGCCAGTGTGAACAGAAAAAAAAAACAGGTTGTTGCTGCTCGCATGCAGCTATTGTCTATGTTGCTTCGTTTGTTAGCCATTAAAAKGGCATGGATCCGCTAGTTTGCAAACCTGAGCTTGTGGCAGTCAGGTTTACAAATTATCTTCCACTAATTCATAAATAATTCGTTTTGTCTTAAATTCTCAYCATTATTGTTTTAAAACTGCACCTGTAGGCTCCGGCCGGTTTGCACTTCTTCTGCACAGGATGAGGTCAAAGGTTCATTAGGCTTGAACACTAATCTAAATCATTAGCACAAGATGCTAACAATCGGCTCCTGTAATGAAGTGTTGGTACTGGATTCAATAGCTGCTTGTCATTTCAATGCCTGGTTCTGATTTATCTCCTGCAGTCAGAGCCACCATGTCGGACAAGAAGGCTGTGATCAAGAATGCAGACATGTCAGATGAGATGCAACAAGATGCAGTAGACTGTGCCATGCAGGCCATGGAGAAGTACAACATCGAGAAGGATATTGCTGCATTTGTCAAGAAGGTTGGGTTTTCAATCACTGAACAATGTAAATGTATCTGCTAAGGCCTTCTTGTTAGTGATTGTCTGTTTTCGCAGGAGTTTGACAAGAAGTACAACCCCACATGGCATTGCATCGTCGGGAGGAACTTTGGCAGCTACGTGACGCACGAGACGAAACATTTCATCTACTTTTACTTGGGTCAGGTGGCCATACTGTTGTTCAAGTCTGGCTGAAACACCCACCTGTGCCACATTTGTAAATTTYACACCGCCTTTCTGCAGACATGCCTACCTCCTGGTTCCTTGCTTACTTCAGTTACATTGTGCCACCTGCAACACTTCCATTGGTGGACGGTGCTTTAGTTGTGTGTGGACTGGTGATCCATCTTTTGTAGAAACTGCCKGTCTAGAGCTGAATCTGGCAGCGGCGTTTGACCTGCATCCATACATACTGACAGATTTCGTTGTCTTAAAATTTCTAGATGTTTTTTTGTTTTTGCTGTTGGGGCTGGCCTGTCTTATTTCACAAGAGTATGTTGTAAAATAAGTTATTTTCATTGCATTAAAATCAGCAACGGYGCTTTTGTTCAAATGCCTTTTTAATTTTAAGTGACAGCTGGTGGCCTGAAGATGAAAGGGGAAAACACACCATGACTGTTGCAAAACTTAATAAAAGGCTGTGACAGGCTGATTTAAAGGTTTGTACATGCTTGAACATTCCTGGCAACGCTTGTGAATATTTGCAGTGTTGCAGCTGCATCTCTGTAAATGGAAACTGTGATCTTTACAGTCATCACTTCAAACATGTTGAGCACAAACCAACTTTGAGACATTAAACTGGTTCAAAATGTATGTGTTGTAATTTGTTTTACATAAGATGTTTTGGTGTTTGTTTTTAAGAAGGATGTTAAGGGTTGCATTAAACCAGGACTATTCAACTGGCGGCCCGTGGGCCACATCCGGCCCACGAGTGACCAGTTCAGCCTGCCAAGTGGTTCGCTCATCTCTTAAACCTAAACCCCTGGTTTTCTACTTTAATTACTCAGTCATTTTAGATAGACATGTTTGTCTACAGAAATCTTAGCTACAAGCTGGTAACCATTTCTATGAACATCCAAGACATTTAAAAATTACAAGCAGGTTTTAAAATATGGCAAGTCAGATCTACCAAAATATTTTGTGGTAAATAAGAGGCATAATGTGTTTTTTTGTTTTTATCACTACATTTATTAGATAGGGTTTTGTATGTTTTCATGATTAAATACAGCAAAATAAACTATTTCAAAGGTAACAGGTCTTTGTAATACTTTTATTTACAAAACGTTAACTGCTGGATGTTCGGCCCCTGTGCTGTTGATCTGCATTAACTGTGGCCCCTGGTGCAATTTAGTTGAATAGCCCTGCATTAACTATTGCAATTTTAATCACTAAAGTAGCACTAAATTGCAGTGTTTGTCATAATTTAGAAGTTAATAAATCTATTGAGATTTTGCCTTTTAATAAACTTAAAGGAATAAACATTAATTATGGGCTAGAAAAGCAGATGCCTGAAACTTTTCCTAGACATTTAACAAAATTTAACCAATGAACATTTCAAATTCACCTAGGTTTCCTCGTTTTAAAATAAAAAGCATGGCTTTATCAGCTCTTTTTATTAAATATACTTGGAATATGAATGTTTTATTTTATATTTAAAACCTTACTGCCTATGTGAAGCTTTTTCATGTAGATATATTTCTGACCTACAGGGGGCAGTAAGCAGCATGTGTTGACGTCACGCTTGAAAATAGGAGCGGTGTACTTCCGGCCGGGGGTCAGGAAAACATGGCGGCTCSTGTCGGGATGTCGGCACCGGCTTTRGGCCCTCGTGCMGTCCCTGRTTTCTCCTCGGTGGCTCTGTCCGCCGACGCGGCCCCGTTCACTCCTCTGTCGGCGGACGGCTCGCACGTCGACTACCCTTCGGACGCTGAAAAGCAGTTCTCCCGCTGCGCCTCGAAGCTCCGAGCCCTGCGAGCATCCTCCGGCCAACTGAGAGAGGAGCTCAACCAGATGTTTGACCAGCTGCTGTCCGAGAACTACAGCAGAACCTTCGAGCCCAACATCAACATCAGACCGGAGGTGACGACACACATAGGCTGACTTTGGCACCTATATTCACCACATGGAATCAGTCGAACTGCATTAATAAGCACTTCTCACTGCTTTAAAACAGATAAAACAAAAATAAACATAGCTACAAGCAGACTTGAGGTGTCCAGGAAAGCTAGAAAAAGAGAACTACGTTGACATTTGTTTTGTAAACAAAGCTCAACTAATGCCAGCATGTGAAATGTGTCACTTTGCTAGGCGAATCTGTAGCAAAACAAACAAAAGACTTCAGATCATAGTTCAAGTTCAACAACTGATTAAAATGATTTAGTGCTGAACTCCTCACCTTTTTTTAATTTCAGGATGTGTGTATCCTGCTGCAACATGTCAGRAGTCTTGTGCCTCTAAATCAGGAACATTTAGTGGTCAAATTCTGCCAACTCATACATCACCTCTTAAATCAACTAAAGGTAAACAACATGCATTAAAACTCACAATGCTGCATATTTATAATCAAAAACAGACTAAAAAATTTACACTAATGTTTTCCTGCTTGGGTTTTTTCCTCAGGTAATAATGGACGAACAGACTCTGGAAGTGTTGGTGAACTATACAGCCCGGGCTTTAAAAGAGTGCAGCACGTGGACCCACCCGGATGTCCTCCTGGCACTCTCCACAGTAGTTTATGGGAATGGACCTCATTGCCACCAGGTAGATGTTTCAACTGTGAGAGCATAATGTGGCCTTTTTCAAATGCTTACCCCGAGGTGCCTCTCATTCCCAGCTTGTCAGCGACTTACTGAGTGAAGGTGGAGTCCTTCTACAGTACAGCTCTCCATCTCAGCCGAGTGTTGAGCTGCAGCGKGTCGCTCTCACCTGCATGGCCAACATCTGTCTCAGGTGGGCTTTATCAGRAGCCTTACTCTAGGTGTGGTGCTTTGATTGTAGTGGATTATACTTTAAAAAACATTTTCAGCAAATATCTTGAGATGTTTGTTAGTTCTTGGAGTGTGTGTTAGTGAWGACTCTCAGCTTCTACCACTAAAGTTTAGTTCAATATTTGTAAAAAAAAAAAAATGTTATATTCGTGTTTGCTATGGTCAAAAAGCTGTGGTGGTCATCTTGCATTGAGCTGACTCCAAAAGTTAATTAGTTGTAAATGTGCAACTAAAACATTATGTCCATTGTTGAGGCTTTTATTTTCAATCCAAATGTTGGGGTGCATAATCGTTTTCTTCTTCTAGTCATCTTGCAATTTTTGTGCTATTTCAAATATTTATACATCAAACCGTTCAGCTCCTTTAGGACATTCCGGCATTGATTTTATGTACTTCAGAAATTTATAATTTTTAAGATATTTAGCTTTTACTGACTTTTTTTTTCTTGTTGAAAATGAATGGAGCTGTCTTTAACATCATTAAAACCCTTTAAAATTATCATAAATCTTTACTGTACTGTTTTACTTTTTGTTCAAGTTCTGCTTTTTTAAAACTCCTTTGTTCTAATTTCAGACTCCTTTGGCTTCTATTTGGATGATTTTCTGCTACTCTTTTGCTTCTTTCAGCTGTTTTTGTGTTTTTAGCTACTTTTTATCTAATTTGAGCTCTTTTTTCAGCTAATTTCACATTTTTGTGATAATTTCAGCTTCTTACTGCTTTATTCYGCAAACATGCTCTGTTTTTTAATTCTGTTTTTTATTTCAGGTCCTTTTTAAACCAATTTTTTTAGTAATTTTTAGCTATTCAGCATTAAGCATTCACTCTGCTTTTTCATAAATAATGTAAATTACTTATTATCAGGGCTATGGGGTTACGTGATGTTTGCTGTGCTGTAAGCTGTCTTCTTGTYCTCCCCTGGGTTGTTGCTCTGCAGGGTTCCAGGTCAGCCACCTTTGGATGATCAGTACAGAAGTGTTTGCTTCAGAGTGTTTCTGAAGACACTGCAGTCACCTAAACCTCCCGACACTGACGACCTCTTCTACTGCATGGTATCTACACTCGGTGCAGCTCTGAAGGTTCAGGGGGGATAAAGAATGCATTTATTCAAAGCTGAATGCTTGTGCAGGTGGTCCAAGCAGCACTGAAGGGTCTTCAGTGTTGTCTCTCCGGTGGAAAGTGGAAATTTGGAGGGGAGGAGCTTGGATCTGCTCTGGCTGCGCTTAAGGTGGAAAATCGTGCTGCTCTGTTGAATTCTTCARGTTTTCTGTGCGTTAATTTGAAATCTTGCTCCTGTGTTGCACAGAGGCTCATGTTCCAGGGAGCCCCAGGTTTGAGCGTGGACTGGCCCRCTGTGCTCTACCCAGCGCTCCTCTCTCAGTACGAAGGTGTCTCTGCAGAAAAACCTGCAGAAACACAAAAATCTTCGGAAACGCCGAAAGATGCTGACACAAGCGGAAAAGCTTCAGGCGTATGTAGAGCATTCATTTTTACTGGTCTTATTTATTTATTTATTTATTTATTTTTGTCATTTTCTGATGGTTTTCCTTTGGTTTCTCCTAAGAAAAAAAAGAAGAAATCAAAAGGAAAAGGTAAGAAGACGAAGACTGATGACAGAGAGGATGATGGGAAGGAGAAAGATAAAGAGGCGGAGCCTATTCGTCAACGAGGAGGAGAAGATGGAGTTAGAGATGACAGGGAGGTGTTGCTCAAACCTTCTGTCTCACTTCTCTACCCGTTGTGGAAGCTAACCAGCTCAGACTCTGAGTTTTCTGACGCAGAAGGCAACGCACAGAGCAAATTAAGGTACAGAGTGACCTGTTCCCACGCGTTCATCCTTATTAGATTATCTACACTTTGTAACAAGTTTAAAGTCCAGTATTTTACTCTGTCAGACTTTACCATGGCCGTGTGCGTCAGGGAGCCCTGCACTGCATGCTGGCAGTGGTCAAAGCTGTGGAGAAGAGGACTCTGTATGGATACTGGTCCTCCTTCATCCCTGACTCCCCTACAGGGGGTCCGCCCCCTTTAACTCTCCTCACAATCATACTGAAGGACTCTTCCCCAAAGGTGTGACTCACCATAAATATTTCTTACATTTCTCATCAGTATTTCTGAAGCATTACACACCGTATTTCATCTGTTTGTTTGTTTGTTTTTGTCTTCTGTTTCCAGGTACGATTGTGTGCACTTCAGGTGTTGTCGGCCATACTCGATGGCTCCCGTCAGTTTCTGGCCGCYGCCGAGGACACGGCGTCCCCCCGGACGTCTTACACCCCGTTCTCCTTCACGCTGGCCACCGCCATCAGAGAGCTGCACCGAGCGCTCAGTCTGGCTCTGCTGGCCGAGACCTCCCCTCAAACTCTCACGCAGGTCGTAAAGGTGGGATGAAGCCAGTCATAGTGAGCTTTCCCTTCAAGTTACAGGARAAGTTAAAGGCCTAGGATTCCTTAAAGGAATGCATATTTCATGCCAGACTTTTAGACTTAGATCACCTTAGGTTGAGATGTGATGGAGTTTGATCAGGTTTGATCAAACTTTGTGTGCAAACTTGTGAGATGCCACACTCAGAGTAAATGTTGAGAATGACTCTCAGCTACAATCACACCAAATTTTAGGTCAGTGTTTGTAAAATTGACTGAGCCATACCCTTTTTTTTTTTGTTTTTATTTTTTTACGTCACTTGTCTGTGACAGCCATCTTGAATTGTCCAAGAGGTAAAGAGTGTGTCTCAGTTCAGGGGCTTGAGGCCCTACGTAGGCCACAGCCTATGCAGTCGAAGTAGGCTGCATAAAACAGCTGTTAATGAGACGGTCTAGTCCTCGGGTCATATGTTTTATAAAATGCATTAGGACATGTACTCATACGTCCTTTCTCTGGAGGAATAAGTTCACAGTTAAAAACATTACGCGTAAATAAATAACATAACCGGCCGACAAATGTGGACTTCAAAACATGCAGCCAGGGTTCCAAAATAAGGCCTTAATTAGCCTTAAAATGTCTTAAATCAATCTTTCAGAAGTCTTAAAAATGTGAACACATTGTAAGTAAGATGATTGTAATTAATCTGAAATATTAAAATAATTGGTAACATTTATTTTTTAAATAGTCACATGCAGACATCCTCCTTTGACATCACTTCCTGTTATTTCACATGCAAATATCTCAACAACTGTCCATCTGAGCAATGTGAAATTTGTTTTGTAATATGTTAATGTCTTTTCAAAAATGCATTCACTTTTCTTACAAATGTTGATGTCACYGGCACTTTAAGGTTTTATCTACAGCAAACTAGGGTTAAGACCCCACTGTGGGTCCTAAAACTCCAAATTTTGGGTCGTTAAACTGACTGCTAAGAATGTTTTTGATATATTTGATGAAAAAGCATTTAGATATGGATAAAAACAGTTGGTCTGTTAGCAATATTTGAATACTTCAATCAAAAATACTTTTATGAGTTTCTGCTACAGTTTCATTTTTTGTCATTTGTGTTTTATTATGAAACTGGTCTTAAATGTAATTTCAGTTGGCATTAAAAAGTCTTAAATTGAACTTGCTTTAAACTGTAGGAACTGAGACGCAGCCGACATGTTGTGAACTAACAGCTTCCCTCCTCTCTCTCAGTGCTTGGCGTTCTTGGTGTCCAACGCTCCCTACCACCGCCTCCGCCCCGGACTCCTCAGCCAGCTCTGGAAGCAGATTCGTTCATACGTGCGCCACAGAGGTCGGTCCGTGGTTGTTAAAGGTCACGCCGTGTGAGAGAGCGGGTCAGGAAGGTTTGGTTTGTGATGGAACAACTTTGTCTTTCTCCAGACGTGACCGTCCGTGTGTCTGTGCTCACGCTGTACGGCGCCCTGGTGACGACCCAGGCCCCCCTCCCGGAGGTGCAGCTGCTCCTCCAGCAGCCGGAGCCCGGTGGCTGCGGCGGCACGTCGGGCTCCTTCACGCCGCAGGACTCCGCTCTCAGCTGGAGGCAGAGAAATGGCGTGGCCTCGCCCGCTCGCACGCAGTCCCCCCACAGTCCTCACACGCCGGCCGAGGGGGGAAGCTCTCCACCATGGCTGCTGAAGCTGTGCGTGTCGCTGGTGACTCAGCCCAAGGAGGACCAATCAGACTCTGAGGGAGCAGGAGGGGGGGCTGCATTAGAGCCCTCTCCTGTTCGACTAGCAGCTTTACAGGTGAGCGACGGTGGAAAGAACAAATCGAGTGATAACTGGTTCTGTTTTGTCTTTCTAACCCSTGTGCCTCCCTCAGGTTCTGTCCCACCTCGTGCGTGGTTACTTCCCTCTGACTCAGTCCAGTCTGTGTGAGYTTGGACAGGTGAGCGCTCGCTGCCTCGGGGAGATGGACCCCTCCTTACAACTACATGGAGCTAAGGTAACGCCTTCCACTTCTTCTGTAAGCAGAAGCAGAAGCACACATTTTTATCTGTTCAGAAAAAGCACAAGAACACTTGTATCTATTTCTAATTTAGCTACTAGAGGAGTTTGGTACGGGAATAATCCTGCAGTACAGAGCAGAAACCAGCGTTCCTGAAAGCTCAAGAGTCCCCATAAACCAAGTGAGTACAGGAATTCCCTCTTGTATTTTATCAACTAGTTGCTTTTGAATGAAATCCTATACATTGCAAAAACTATCTATCTAGTCAAGTTTTAAAATCTTATATCCAGCCAAAAAGTATTTTTGATCTTGTTTTGAGACTGATTTACTAAACAAGAACTGATTGTGTAAGAATAATAATCTTGTTTTCAGAATGTGTAAGAT